CGGCTGGCATGCTTGGGGATAATGACGGCTCAGGAAGGTCCGCCTTTGACGCAGCGGACCAATCGACCATCGAGAATGCGACTTGTGGGCATGTGCGAGGAATACTTCTCCACAAGACATTCCCCGGGCCGATGTTGATTAGCGTCCGGGATGAGATGGAAGCCACCCTTTCGTGAACGTTGTTAATAGCGGTTGTAATGTAGTCGAAATTAACGGGGTGAAGAAGAATCATGTCGAGAACCTCCTCCATTAAACTGTAACCGTCCTTCGGATAGATGACTTCACCAGTGACGGTAGAGCGCAGACGATGGTTGAGATCAGCGTAGTCAGGGAAACAAATGCTTCTTGACGCGAGGTCATTGATAATGTCAGCCTTGACGTCTACGAGCTCGGGAGCATGATAAAGTGCGTGTATGGGCATATAGCGGGATGTCGTTGAGGTGGGTGGAAGAAAGCGAGAACGGAAAGTCTCTAGTGTCTGAGGCCTTCCTGATATCGATATGCACGTTACATGCGTCACAGCGGATAAATATAAGCGAGGGCGAGAGGGCTAGAAGATGATTCCTGTCAAGCACGACAGAGAGTTGAGGATTGACCGTGAACTCACGTAAGCAGTTGTATATCGATCAATCGCCTGCTGGATTTCCCCACGCGTCGAACCGAAAACAACGAGACTCCAGGTTGCTGCGGGCGAGGCTTCTGCCACAATACCATTCGTCGCGGTGCGCGCGTGCTGCTCAGAGCGCACGCCCAGCCAGAAGGCAAATCGGAAGACAGAGATGGCATGGGAAATCAACGAAGGTATGTCCTTCGCGCAAGCGATCACGGTGGCCGCGAGCATACCACTGGAAAATCCGTAGATATCTGAGACGGAGGTACAGTCCTCTTCAGCGCCTAAGGTGTCGTTGGCGTGTGCGAGATAACGAAGGAGCTGAACAAGGTAAAGATGGATATTGGCAACTATGGCGTTGGATTGGTACCGAAGTGCCAGCTCCAACAATGCGTTCGGTGTAGCAAAATCCGTCACCGTGAGGCCGCTGTTCTCCTGCTCCTCAGACGACATGGAGCCAAAATCACGCAGAAGCATTTGGTGGCATGCTCGCATAATAGAGTTTGCCAAAGGGGATTGGGCATCGTGGAGGGCGGTGTGGATGGTCTGCGAGGACGTAGTCGATGGAATACCTTGCCCGTCAAGAACCAACGACTGTGCAGAGACTGCTTGCCGGGACATGGGATCGTTGTGCGAAGCGATGTCGAAGAGTGGTTGAAGGTAGAGTGCGAGCGTAGGTACCAACTAGGTTAGCTGGAAAGCAAAGCTTTGCGTGTTGTTGAACGCGTCGACAAAGCAGAGGATAGTCCTAACGTGTCGATGCTTATAAGAGTCATGTCGGAGTGCGAGACTGATAGCATGGACATTCACCAATGAAAATTATCTGGATGTGCCTGGACACAAAACAGGGTTTTGGCTGGCAGGTCAAGAATTCGTAAGCGATGCACCAAGACACTGTAACAAAAAAATCAGGACTAGCTCGATTAAGAGGTGGTGCTCCGAAAGACAGAATTCTGTGAGAAATGAAATGGAAAATGCAGACATACCTACTACTCGGACGCCGTCAAGGTGTAACGAGTCGGAATTGATTCTTGTCCGTGTTTTAGAGGGACCGGCGAGGGAACATGGTCAGTATTCGCACCTTGGAGGACATGGCGGTTCGAAGGTAACCTCGGAACGCGCGAACCAAGTGCTGCGCCAGCGTACTTCTGTGACATCTCGAGAGGGAGGACAGAACTCGCCACCATCAACTTGAATGCCCAAACACGGACAGGTCACGCGCGTGACATACCATAATTGTGACTGTGACACCAGCAACATCAACGTGATGGGCCCGGCTTCACACCAGTGTGTATTCTCCTTCAAGTTCATGTTGTCGCAGGAACACACACTGAAAAGCCTGTGAGCTATTGCAGCGTCGTGCCGGAGGAGGTTCAATGGCAAGTCTCTCTTACCAATCTAGTTTGATGAGCGCCTCATGAATATGTGTTCGCTGGCAGAGTCTTCATATCACCACAACCGCCACTGCGATGGCCACCAACCATACGAGCAAGCTAAACCACACCGAGGACATTTTCTATCTTGACGCTCCGAGACTGTCAAACTAGGCATCTTATGCCCGCTGGAATCTCTATTCAACTCGCTTTCAAGTTTTGTTGTGTGACGGTGCCAGCTGAGGAGCCGTGTACTAGCATTGTAATTACCTGAGCACGGTAAGTCTATCGGATGGTATTACGTAGTTCACGTGTCATATTGATTTTCATGCCCTGGCTAGTTTGCAGCGTTTGAAACTTGGGAGAGCTCGGCGCGATCCTACTTACGGCACAACTATGATCTTACGCTACTTGGCAGGGAGGAGCCGAGGCTGGATCCTGCGGGCCTTTGGATCCCCCTGCTGCGCTCACTCATACCCGGCGTGTCACGCTTATTATTTAGGACTTATTCTACCGTGTTGCTTATCGTCAAATAGACCTTGGGCGTGTGGCAGGGCAACGACGGCAGGACTTAATCTGACTCTCGCACATGTAATGGTCCCATGCGGAGTGTTGTCCGCGCCATCGATATTGCCGAGGCTAAGGATGCCACGCCGTATGGTTCGCAAGTCAAACCAGCCCGTCAGTACATCATGCATGTTTGACGAACGTGTCGAGCGTCCCGGACAGGATGGGGCATCATCAGTAAGACCTTTGTCTCTAACGAAGAATGTACTAATTGTTACTCTCACTCTCCATTGCCCAGTTCGAATACTCAAGCCAATCCTCTCTGCGGGTGACCTGTAGATGTTTCACGACCATAGCCGGCGTACTATACAGCACTGTTGACAACCTCGGCACCATGGTGAACCCGGACTGAAACCCATGGAAATCACGGATGTTGTTCGACATAGGAAATATGACTTCGGCAACGCTGTCCTTGCGTTTCGCAATTGCCCGAAAAGCGCTCGTGGAACGACTAAAGCTGAGCAACTACGAGCAGTCATTACTAGTCACAGAGCTCAGCGTCAACCTTAATTCTAGAGACCGTGAAGAGGACAACTACGCACCGGACATTCGTGGCGTCAGACTCGGTCAGAGTCCCAGCAGGTTGGCGCTATTCAGCGATCGCGGTTGCTATGCAGCTGGCCTGCCCTGTCCATGAGGCAGGATCGAAGTCGCAACATTATACGTGTTCAGTGCCTTACTCCTCTTTTATCACGTTCACATGAAACTAACGTTAGTCTCCGGACTACCTATGTACGTACAATGCACCATCCTCCATAGGGCAGATTGTAACTTCGGCTTCAAACGTTTATTTGCGCTACTGTATTGGTGACAGACGCGTTGGCTAACGGATTGTCTAGCTCGGAAGTCCCCTTTCGTCCCCACCGGAACATTCACCTTCAATTTCGACTGCATGCCATCCGAATACATGATGTTCCTGACTAGCAGCCCTCGGAGACGGAGGCGCTGTCCCGGGGAGCATCTGTTGCAATGTGTTAGGGTGCACGTCAGTAGACGCCATTCTCCCTGAACCTTGTAGCGTATATTTACTGTATTGCCATACCAGCGCAGATCACTTGTGGAGCCCTGTGGTATTCCTGGACTATATTCTAGGACATGACAACTATCAGCCGACCATGCCTAGCAAGAATTTCCGGCCCTTCTCATACTTGTGCTATCGGAGACATCTGAGCGCAAGTTTGTTGCCTAGCTGCATCGGGCTTGACGTCCGCGAAACAATGACTGGCCACCCCTTGGTTATAATCATTAGCCCGCGAATTTTCAACATCACCCCCGACAGTCGCGGTACCGGACGATGCGCAGTGGCAACACCAGCTGCCAAACGTCAACATACGTCGATTCGACAGTCAGACCCAAGGCGCTCATTTCCGACTGGTCGGGTCCCCCAACGTCTGAATTGGTTTCAGGACTTCACATACTAGCATTCTCAGCCTATCTTGGAGGAAAAGCATGTCTCACCCGTTAGATCCCGTAGCTTTACGGTAAGCCACGCAGCCATCATTATCTGTGGCACGGATATATCGCTCATCATTCCTCACCCTAGGCAATATCTTCGGCCTAGCTGTGTTACATCTGACTGACTTCGAAAAAAGGCATTCTTAAACAACCTCTGTCGTCATCAGGCATGCACTCCGAGAGCTAATTCGTACTAAACAACTCATGCGATGCGCGATTACGGAACTACGAGCCGGGTGCGTTGCTTTGAGTATCGCATACATAACATCACTGTAACCGCAGCAGTGGCCGGAAAATTTTTTAATCTGGCACTTTCACGCAAGGCAATAAGTGTTGCAGACCTACTCAGGTCGCACATGCGATTTCTAGGGGTCCTAAAGCTTGGCAAAACGCTGTAATGTGAGTGATACGTGTTTATCGGTGGTCGTTGGGAATCTATACTTATCTAGTCCTGTCCATTCTCGCTTTTAAGCTCACGTCCAGTTCAGTCACTCTGTGTGATTGATTGTCTGGTGGCAGATCGTACACGCCGAAAGGCTGAACGATGGTTTGGGCAAGCCAAACGAGTGAAAGGATACGCGAAATGAGCTCGGAAGGCTGCACGGGTGGTATTCGATGATCCCGCCACTGTACTCCTTGAGATGGACGTGTGGAAGCAGCGTGAATGCAGACTCGTTGAGCGCCTCAGTACGCCTCAGGCCTGTCAGCTGTACTACTGTGTCCCGTGAAAGTGCAGCATATGGATGTTGCTTTGATGTTTTCACTTTGTGGATTGCTAGACAAGCAAGGCTGCTATCCCGGTGTATCGATCAGTTCCCTTCGGTAGGTTCAAGCGCAAAGTCTGCATTCCCACAGAGCAAATAGAGATTATTTCATAAGCCAACATATGCAATGCTTACGCGTTACCTCGAATCAGCTTACGACGACAAAATGATTTTGGTAGAGTAGGAAGGCAACAGCACTTATAGATGCCAATGGACAAATCCAGTACTATTGGGCACATGGTGTAGTTGGTTATCACATCCGCTTAGCATTGAATGCGCCTGCGGGGGGTGCTGGGTTCAATTCCCAGTGTGTCCATATGATATCAATCCACAAGCTTTTTCTGGATTTCCAAGCGAGCTGTGTGAGCATGAGTTAGCATAGTCCACTTCAGCTTTCAAAGGACCCAAACTGCAGTAATTGCACCGCGCTTGCGCACGGAACGCTACACAGCGCACACGCCTCTACGAGAGAATCATGCTGTCGACGATGAATAATTGTTACAATTACGATAATTCAGCTATCTACCATCTCGATGTCCTTCCCACCTATCTTCCTTGCCACCGGTATATCCTCAGCATCGCCTCCCGCCAGCAACGCCTCTGCAGCAACGCGAATAGAGGCGATTTTTTCTCGCATGATCTTGACAGCTTCAGGGAGGAGGCGTTCCGGTTCATATGGACCTTCAGACTCCACGCTGACTAAAGAGGCAGAAACGTGAGCAAGTGAGCAGGCGTGAATATGCGTTTCGCTCACAGATGAACCAATCCCGTATCCTTTTCAGCTCGACGCAGCCAGCAAATTCTTCATGCCGAAGAACCTCTCGTGACACGCTGTCATTTCGCATTCCTTGCTCGTCGATCGACACCTGCATTTGCAAGGCTTTAGTAACCATGGCGGCTTATGTGTCGGAACTGGCGGCATCACCTTGTTGTTCTTTCCTATTTTGACGACGCCAGGACTGAAACAACTAGCGAACTTTTTCGCCAAGTGCGGAGGGATCGGTTTCTCGGGGTTTAAGATGATGAGAGGGTGCAGTCGATACGAAGCGGTAGCTGTAGAAGATATTCATGGTCAGAATGCTGCACAAACAGGGCTAAATGGGCTTACCGACTGGACTCCACTTTGCATGTTCCTTGCCTACGTTCTTGGTTGCATGGAGCTCCATGTCGATCTCTTGTCCTGGACGCATTTTTGCGAGGACGATGTTCTAGCAACGTTAGAAGTAGAAGCGTTAGACCATCACAAACCCTGGCAGACATAACGACTATCATGTACTTTGTTTGTCGGAGCCGGGGGCTTGTCTGCAAACACGACCTCTTGCTCTCCTTGAGGGACCCACACCAAATCCCCGCTTTTGACTTCATCGTTGATGTACTCCTTCCCACTCCCCCTTGGTGCCCTCGAGCATTCCGCTTTCAGCCTTTTTTGTCGCATGGTTATGAGTGATCGACATGACGAGAACCAAAAGTACCGTGGTGCACGTACTGGAAGACAATGGTGTTCCTGTCATTCGGTGAAGCATTAATTCCCGTCGGCGTGCGATACTCCATCAAGGCTGGATCTACGTTCAGCGGGACGAGACCGAGCCGTTGTGCGAGAATCTCGTCGTGTATGACTGAAGTGTTGTTCCACACGTACACATGTTCAATCGCGAGTGTTGGCACCTGAGAGTGTCATGTGACTCTTTCAGAGGGATGCAGCAGTGGGATTAAGTACCTCAGCGATGAGTATCCTCCGAAACGCGTTAGCTATTGAGGCATCCACTCCGACGAGGTCAAATTCTATCGAACGCTGAGATAGCCGATGTACTTTTACTCGTAGATTCTATTTCACAGCGCAACGATTGTCAGCAACATGTCATTAACACCACCCTCCAAATACGATGCGCACCCGTTTAAAAACGTCTAGGTTCCAGCTGTGGTCCTCGTTCGGATAATGCCCTGGGTATTCTGTGCTTGAGACATCAGAGATACGCTCTGCGTGTATCCCTACGTGTCGTCTTGAGTTGTAAGCAGACTGTGGCAGGGCGTTCGAAGAGGACGAAGGAGACATTCTAGTTTTTTGGATTTCACAAAGCTCATGTGCAATTTACTGTCACAGTCACTGCGTTGAGGCGTTCCGTCACGCGCGAGACTCAGTGTGCAAATTCCATAACACTGTTGCATTGCACAGTCAGCTATATCGTATAGTTTGAATCAGCACTATTTTTAAAAGGTCCTGGCATGATATTCTGACAAAACTTTACTGTACTTACTGCAAACCACACACCCACCGTGCTAGTACACAGAAGGAAAAAACTGCTCTCGTGGTGACGTCTGGCCAATTGCACGCTTTACGTTACACAAAAGCATGCTCTGATACAACGCTAGTCGAGCACCTCAGGCTCAGGGTGACAGTCCTCCCACAAAAACAAAGCGACAACTTGAACATGGACACACTGGGAATTGAACCCAGCACCCCCCGCAAACACAAAGCAATGCAATCATGCGAAGCGGGTGTGATAACCAACTACACCATGTGCCCGCAAGACAAGCTGCACTACACGCAGGCAGAAACCGTGTCAACCGCCCCAGAGAACATTTTTCATTCACAACTTTCCGTGGCGATGAATCACCTCACTAGCGTGTGGACATCTTTCAGTTCGAGTATTGAGCAAAGCACGGATGATAGTATCGGATGACCATCGATACGTAGAGGATGAGGGGTACTGTACAAAAATACATGGGTGGGGTATGAACTACACAAAACGTCGCAGTCATAACAAACATCAAAATCTGAAATCCAAAAGTCGTGAACAGGTACACTCAAGCCTTTTCTTCGTAATGCTCATCGCGCTGCGAAACAAAACAAAACCGTCAGCATGACATCCTTCAAGCTCCACATCCAACAGAACAAAACAAAAGCTCACCGAATCGGCCGCATCATCACTCTTCAGCTCCCTCTTCACCTGCTCCAACGTCTTCTCACCCACATGTCTGTCAATCTTCCACGCACTGAAGATATGTCCCTGCGCAAACACCTCCTCGATCTCCTCCAACGTCCTGCCCGCCGTCTCAGGGAAGCAGAACAGTATGTGCACAAACGCCGCAAAGTTGAACGCTCCAAAGATAAAGTACGTCTTGTAGCCGATGTTGGCCAGACCGGGGGGTACAGCCCACGCGAGCGCAAAATTGAACAGCCAATTCGTGGCGGTAGCGACAGAGACGGCTTTGGCGCGGACGCGCATGGGGAAAATCTCGGCGGGGTACGTCCACGACACGGGACCCATCGTGATGGCGAAGGAGCAAACAAAGAGGTAGGAGCAGACGATGACGCCCTTGGTGACACTGTCGTGGCCGGTGATAACCCACACAGCTGCAGAGTTTTTGTAAGCACGGAGAAGGGAGGAAGTGGGTAAGAAGGGAGAAACGCTTACCTGAACCGTCAACTGTGCCCCACTCTCCGAAGCCGCCTTGAAGACCTCCGACGAGCATGAGCCAAAAGCCCATCAGGAAAGTGCCGATGAGGAGCATGGGACGACGACCCCATCGGTCAATGTAGATGATAGCGGGGACTACGCAGGAAAGGATCGCGTTCAGGATCACAGAAAAAACCAAACGAAGAACAAGAAGCACGTACTCGTGAAGACAACGTTCAAGACGTACTGAACAGAGTCAGCAATCAAGTTACCACGACGTCCAGTCAGACCAGCACCCTGGAACACATAGATGATATAGTACATCATGATGTTCATACCAGAAAGCTGAGACCACATTTGCAGGGAGGCACCGAGACCAACACGACGGACGATACCAGGCTTGAGAAGGTCGAGGTACGACTTTGCTCCCTCGGTACGCTCGAACTGGACTTGACCCTTAATTTCGGCGTACTCGAGTTGCACGAGTTCGTTGGTGTGGTCACCCTTGCCGTGCAAGTCGGCGAGGATCTCGAGGGCCTCGGCGTCACGGTCGTGGTCCATGAGCCAACGAGGTGACTGTTCGTCAAAGAGCGCGTATTACTGATTAGTGATCCAAAGTCAGATGGGCTCAGCGAAAAAAGCATACCTCTGGGAAGACCATCATACCAAGCGACAATATGATAGCAGGAATCATTTGGAGACCCCAAGGGATACGGAAGGAGGCGTCCCCGTTGATATACGAACATCCGAATTCGACAAAGTATTGCAGCAAGATACCCCAAGTGATAGACCATTGTTGCATCGAAACGAGACGGCCACGGATGGCGGGTGCGGTGATCTCAGATTGATACAGAGGGACGATTGCAGAGGCCAAGCCGACTGCGATACCGGAGATAATACGACCGACAACGAGCATACCGCGATCCTTGAAACACATTCACGTATTAGCAAAAATTCACGATTGAACGTTGACGGTGTGGTCGTGACATACCACTGCAGCACATTGCAAGATACTGCCGAGGACCCAAATCCAACCGGATATAATGACGACCTTCTTACGACCAATTCTGTCTGCGAGCCAACTGACGGCGAGGGAGCCGACGAATGAGCCAGCGGGCATAGCAGCGACGATGGCACCCTGGGCGTTTGAGCCTGGATTGCCGAATGTGTTCTTGTACGCGTCGTTCTGGAGGAGATTCTCAGAAATTACTAGGCACGCAAATAGGTACAGGTGGCTTACGCTCAAGACACCGGACATGGACGAGATGTCCAAGCCGAAGAGACCTCCACCAATACATGCGAATGAGCCCACAATGTACTAGAGAACAAGGGAGTGAGTATTGTGGGCACTGAATGAATATTAGTAGACACTCACAGGGTTCGAGGCAATTGCTGCATTGTACTAGCAAAGCGCTGCGGGTGAGCCCATCGTCGGTCAAATAAACGAGCACACAACGTACGCCTTTGCCCATCTTGGATAACCACACGCTTCAGTCGACTCTGCAGGAGGAGTGAGAAGGACAGCCAGTCGAGAGAAGCTGTTGGCTGTCGCTATCGCACAACTTTATACAAAAACCCACAGACGAGTAGCGGGCCGAGTGTTGTGCACATTCCGGAAGCGACAAGTGTGCAAGGTCGGACCTTCTGACATACACTGTTATGAGGGTTCTGATGGGAGAATGCGCATGTGTTAAGAAAGTAACTGGAGGAGGTGGTCAGCAGACCACAGCAAGTCGAAGTGACGCAGTCAACCGACCAGTTCGCATTCTGTGCCCTGGCGTTTAGTTTGAAACCTACCCCACCTCCCCCAGACGGCCATCAATCAATTGGCTGGCATCTGGAACCCACGAAGATATTCCGAAGGTGCATTGAACATGCGAGATATTGCGTCACGTAACGCTCCCATCCCACGGTCCGGGGAAGCCGTGGTTTGAATGCTTGCAAGAAGAGTACGTACAGCCCAGAGACAACTAGCCAGAACTCGAACTCACATTTGCGGGGGTGTTCCCCGCCAGTGTGCGACGATTGGTCGAAAATGGGTGCATAGGCTTTCCAACGGCCGGGTTGATTGCCCGAGATATCGCTCTAGGTTTGGAACAAACGGGGTGTTGCCCGCGCGCTCGGGAGTTTTGTTCAACAGTATGATTGTAGGCGGGACAATCATCCTGTAACGCTCACCAAGGTGAAGCACATGGTCAGATGGAACACTCACCGACGTCAAGCACATGGTCAAAGGCAATCGCGCCGTCTGCTCAATGGTGCAGGCCAGTGCGAATGATTTTTGCTGTATACCAGAGCATGGCAAGTAAAGCGCTGTTGGGCTGTATCGCGCGAGGGTGGAAGAGGCACAAGGTACAGGTGGGAAGGAAGAATGTGTTTTCAACATTCAGGCTATAAGCCATAGCTGTATTGAATACAATTCCTAAATCGAACACGACGATCGTAAGCTGCACATCATCAAGACAGCCGCGAAACCAACTCACCATTTCATTGTGCCCTGGATCGTCTACATAAACGATGAGCAATGTACTTGGGGGTCTACGCATATCCGTATACACCGCGTTCCAAGATTGAGCAAAGGGGTATTCTCATTAGCGTGAGGTTAGATGTAAGTTCACAGCTCATCGCGAAGAGCAGCATTCGACTGGGGTTGTGTCATGATTGCTCCAGATATACTCATGAACCACGCTCGCTGGTGCTTGGGGGACGCCCACTCTGGCGAATGCCCTACAAGAATTTTCGGCAAGCATGAAAGGGCAGTGAGAAAGATGAAGACGAAGAGATGATGCATAACACATACCACCAAAAAATGTCTGAAAATGCATTCCCTGGACGTACGCCTCCGGGGCCTCTTCATCGCGAAAGATCAATCCTGTAGCATGTATGACGCTTCGGCCGTCGATGTATACCTCAATTTCGCCTGCATTATATGCAATTGAACGATGTGTCAAGGGCACCCTACAGAGAATGTACCGACCGTCCGCCGTTCCGACATTGTTCATCTTCAACCGTTCTGCCACAGCTGTCCATCTCCCTGGAATAAACTTCCATGCGCCTCTGCCGACTGAAAATCCGTAGTCGGGGTGTTGGATGGAACGTGGTGGAACGGACAAGAGAGAGTGGGTGTTTGAAGGGGTTTGAGGGAGGTAGGCGTATAGCTCCGCTGTAGCGTTCTCTCTGCGCAACCAGTGAGCGTGCGGGGGAGGACGTGTTTACTACCGAAGCAACTGACCGCCACATGAGGCGAAGGTTGAAGCATTTGCAGCGATCGGATTGTCGACCACCAGTGCAACCGTACGCAGAGTCGCCTGTACCCCCAACTAGCATACTATGTGAGCAAAGTGTCCCATCGATAGGTCAGAGTAGCAGCACGTACACATTCCAGGCAACTTGCCGCCCTTTCCCCACTCCCAGTCCTCCTGGAACATCACCTCGTAAGCCATGACCACCTCTGTCGGTTTCTCGCTCTTCAACCGCTCATGGAATGCTTTCGGTCCGTTCATGTAAAACCCGAACCCTCCAGCTGGGGCTGACTTGTTCCCGGGGTTGATACTGTCTGCGGGGAAGTCTGCCTGCCATGCCTGCAGTCTCGGAAAGACGACGTTGTTGGCGTCGGTAGGGTGCGGAGGTGTGACGACGGGGTGGGAGGTCTGGGAGGATACTTTGTGTACGCCGAGGGCTTTGTCTGCGAGAGCGACGTGGGCGACGTTGGGGAGATCGATGGTGGGACAGGTCGTGAAGCCTGTGAGTATGCGAGAAGGTGCGATTGGGAAGAGAGGGTTCAGGTTGGTTGAAGACATTCAGCGTTGTGCACTGGGTACCGAATATGGGAATGATCCAACCACTGCGCCAGTCTATTTTTGACGATCACCACGCGTTCGTCCTCGACATCTTCGCAGACGTACTGTATCGCGGGCACGTGCACATGCCCTGAACGCTGGTGTGGGTAGAGGAAGACAAGAAGAGGCAGGAACAACACCCGACAAGCCAGCATGATTCACCTCGCCGCGCAATCTATTGAAATTGTCAGCAAGACATGTTGAACATTATTGATACAAGCAATGTTATCTCCGCAAGAGTGTCATCTGCTGCAGTGCGTACTTGCCTCTGTTATACATCCAGAACA